CCCTGCCTCTCTTACCCGCTCGTGAGCTATATATATATATATATATATATATAAAATTTTTTTCAAGGCATATTTTTAAGTGTTATTGTGCTAGTGAGTGCCTATGTAATGAAAAAGAAGTTTGATGAAGAGAAAACTTAAATGTCATATGTTGCATTATGAAGACTTGCATAATGATTCATGATTGTATAATAAAGAATATCTAATTAAATGCAAAATCAAGAAAATTGTACTGATCTCACTTAAAAATTGCAAGCAACATTTGATCTTATTAAAGTTGTACACTAGAAAAGAAACCAAACATATACCAAAAATGAAACATGTATGTGAAAGGAACCATATATCTAAAAAATGAAGTTGCTTTGAATAAGAAACTCTTAACATCCAAGAATTAGTTTGAGTTATTGCTAAAGAAGACTTTCTAGGAATGAACTTTATTGAATGATTTTAATTATGGTACTTATGTATATCAATCGTGCATGATATTTCTATGTTATATCAATATTATCTGTGTCATTATTTTTTTTTCATGGTATTTGTGATTGTATATGCATTGTACCTATGTTAGATAGCTTCAAGAGCAAATGAGAACAAACAAACTCAAAATCAGGTTGAAATGGGCTGAATCGGAGCCTGGGTGCTAATTCTGGGTGCCCAATTGACTGCACCTAAGCTCCAGCCCCGGGCACCTAGGTGCCCAAAACCAGAGCCACATGCGCCTATGTGCCAGTTATGGGCATATGGGAACCCAAAAGCGAGAAACAGGCTTCAAAGGGTTGGATCTGGGCCTCTAAGCTTGAGATTATGGTTTAGAAATCTCATTTCGCGTTGTATCATGAGCACAAGCTTAAATGGGTGTAATACGAAGATTGAAATGCGCTTGATGGTGTGCAAAGTTTGAAAAACTTTAAGAGAGTAAGTGCAAGTCTGAGAGGATTGTGAGGGTGAGGGTGAGGGTGAGGGTGAGAAAAGTTGCAGGGAGGTTTGACTAATATGTCCATAAATTTTTATTGTTCTTCATTGTACTGTGCAGGAGTAGTGGAGATCTGAAGTGGCACTTCAAGGGTATACTTTTTCTAGTTTTTTCGTTCTAACTCTTATATTCTGTTTTGCTTTGATTAATAAAATGTGAAATTTAGTATTTCAAAGCATGTATAGTAACTAATTCATATTTTCTCCTTTAATTTGTTGATTAGAAGTTCTAGAGCTTAATTTTTGTCGATGTGACTGCTTTGGAACTATTTGAGCTATTGTGTGAATCTTTATACTTCATTTACATTTAGCATAGCGAGTTGTTTTTTTAAAATTTGTTGTAAACTTTGGATTTCAGTAGGAAACATAATAGAATGACTAGGTTAACACATATTAACGTACCAGAATAGAAATATTTCTTCTAGGGTAGTGTAAAAGAAAAGGGAAATGTGGGGCCCTTGGAAAATTTTGCATAGTTTATGAATATAAAGTTTGATTTGACTTTACAAACCTATATTTGACCACCGAAAGGGGCTAAGAAGAAGATTTGTTTCTGGTCGTATCTTTTAACTATGCCATTTAGTTAACCCTAGGTATCTAGAATCCAAATCAGGGAGAATCCCTCACTTGATAGCTACTCTCACCTTAATCTCTAGGAATTGGATTTTGCAAAAATGATGTTTAAGGACTTAGAAAAATTCACCAAAATTAAAAAAATTTTAAGCTGGATTTGCGATCAGTAAACTAGAATATTTCCAGATTTGGGAAGTTAACCCGTGTCTCATAAGAGCGATACACAGACTTAGATCTGTGTACTATTTGATTGACATGTATACTTACATAAATCCCCAGTGGTCATATCAAGCACTGATAGAAATTAGTTCATTCATTAATTGAGCAATCAAATATTGTTCAACAAGACGCCTTCCAAAACTCCCCAAAAGCTGATAAATTGATACCTTTCATTCTCACCTTAAAACTATACAATTTTGAATCCCTCTATGAAGGCATTAAACATTTGATCAATAGTAGACACACATAGTGTACAAAATAAATTATTTTTAACTATTTCTTATGAAATGCCATCTCAAAATACTTCATAATATTATGTTGCACGAACTTTATGCAGTATTTAATAACTTGCACATAACTTTCATGGACTCTTCCCACGCTGTCTGTAGATTATTAGGAGAATTTTCAATCATAATAACTCATGTCGCCTTTGAAATTACTATGAATTCTACTTCTACATCAGAACTCGCCACAACATTTTATTTTTGGGGCACTACATCCATACCACCCAATTCCTATGTATTTACACATCTAACATCTAAACATTGCTTTTTTCACATTTCTACCACCCAAATCTTTTATAACAAATAAGAATATCACGTCATAACTTTTAAATTATGAAATAGCCTTGTTATACATATGTAAGATGGTATATATGTAAAAATTAAAGGGTAGATGTTAGATATCCAAATACATAGGAACTTAGTGGTATGTATGTAAATCTTCCTTCATTGTTTTCTTCGTCTAGTGATAAAATTACATCCAAAGAAGGTACAATATCAAGAGGTGGAACTCTTATCTTCACGTAAACCTACATAATATGCACCTCTATAAGCTTGGTGTTCCAATTCCATGTCTCTTCTAAACAAAATTCCCCGTTCAACATTTGCCTTTTTAAGTAGTGAAGAATTTGATAGACAACTTATTGGCGATCTTCAGTAGTATCATATAAGAACTGAGTTTACCACACTTGAGGCAAAGCTCCAAACATTAAACTAAGGATAACAAAACTTCTGTTGTATTTACATTTAGAGCTAGAGCAAATGTCTCGTGATAACCTATTGCATAAATTTAAGTGTAGCCCTTCACTATTAATCTTTCCTTATATCTGTCAAGAGTACAATGATGTTATATCTTGCTTTAAACACTCACTTGGACCCTATAGATTTCATTCATTTAGAAAACTCCAATAATCTTTCATGTTTTATTTATCTGTAGGGCGTATATCTCCAATCTCGTGACTTTTGCCTATTCTTCATTAGACAATAGATCAAACAATCTCTTAAGGGTTTGAAAGGATGATTAAGCACATCATAAAAGCTTAAGAAGTGATGAGAAATTCTTAAACGATTTAATGTAAGATAGAGGATATAATAGGCATTTAGTGCACAACCTTATCGTTTTTATGTTGCTATTTTCATTATTAGATTTCTTGTGAGCAATAGAATTGAAAACTATATTAAATTTACTTCTAATATTTAGAGAAATGTCATAGGCATGAATAGGATATGAAATATAAACTCAGCTTCTTGAATAAAAATATATATCTACAAATGACATTATTTGGCATGTTTAGTTATAAAAAGAAATACGGAGTGCCATTCAATTTTTAATTTTTTTTTTTACGAAGAAGAGGGGATAATTTTAAATTAAGTTAATGATGATGTGGGAGAAGAAGATAGATGGATAAAAAAATAATCTTCTATCCTTTAGTACAAAGTAAACTAGAAACAAAAGAAATATGAGCATTGTTATTGTTGCCCATGGAGAGGAAACTCGTGGCAACAGTGTATTTGAGGAAGCAAAAATTGAGGAAATAAAATGATTTCTATATTGGAAAACAACTAAATATATAGAAGAAAATAACCGAGAAAAACCCTCTAGTATGGTGATATCATGGCATGAATTGGAAAATAAATTAAAAGCATTTTATTATACCATTTGTGCTAAATGTATATAATCCTCAACAAGTTTTTATAAGAAACATACCAAATTAGGGACTGAAAATCATTGATAGAAATGTTGATTTCTTCACAATAATAGACAACCCATCAATATGCATGTACAACAGATAGTGATTACATGGTCCAAGATCAATGAACTGGCATGGAGAAGGCAAAACTCTAAGAGTGTTGAAGGGAGATAGCTAGCACAAACCTATAGTAGCTCGGAGGCAACTAGTCAAGGAGTGGTCTAAATGAGATGAAACAAAAAGGAGAAGCTAAGAAACTAGCAAAAGGTGTGATCTTAGGAAGGTGCATTTATAGAAATTTAATCATGAATCCTTATTTTCCAATTAAAAAAAAAAGAAAAAAATTGAGATCCAAAACGAACCATCAAAGGCCTTTCTCATATGTATTGTAGCATGTCTCCCATGTGCAGACTTAATCCAAGTATGCTGTGAATAAATTTTCATAAATTAACAAAAAATTGTTAGACAGGGCTACTATGCTATGTTTTATTCATAAATATTTAGTAAATTGCGCTAGCAAAATATTAGACACTAATAACCAAACAATATAAAATTTAAATTAAATCATTTATACATGTTATATAACCATCAACCGTTACAAAAATATCATGCTAAGAGTTTATCACAATGTGAAATATATATGATTTTATTGATATCTTTCACACCTAATTCTAACATTCCCATGAATAATGCAAACAATAGTCATGCTTTCATCATATATGCCCAAATCATAAAGTTCTCCAGTCAAACGACATTATACATTTGATATAAGCTCAAATAAAACTCACTGATGAATTTAGTAGAATTTGAAGAATAGCTTCAGGATCTCCTTCTCCTGCAATCAATAAGAACACGAAAAACCATCATAAGCAACTAATTTATCAGAATCATACAAACTAATCTCAACAAAATAACCAACCATTTTCCTTAATGGCCTTTTCAACCATGTCTCCACTAAACCCCATTGCAATGAAATGGGAATATAAACTAGGCCGAGAAGGACCTGCCTCAGAAGCCTTCAAAAAATTCAGCCAAAATTATTCATGAAATAGCCAAACAATATATATATGATTGACAAATTTATAAATTGAGAAAGAGTAGAGAAATGTTAGTATGATTGACACATTTATCAACAAACATGAACTGAAATCCATGTTTCTCATGGGTGGATTACATTACCTCCCCATAAAGATTTGTAGGGCTTTTATTTTCATCATCATCAGTCCAGTGAAAATCGCTATCATTGTCACTATCTCCATCCTAAATAAATCAAGTTAATACCAAATAAATTCTTGAGCTTTTGCTCATTGGAAGGAGTGCATCAAGAAAGAACCAACCATTTTTCTCCTCAAAATATTTCTATGCTCATGCAAATTCCACTAAAATCCCACTGCAATACAAAGCAAATAAGCTTTCAGTAATGTTTCTGCAATGAAAGAAATAGCAGTCTTATTGCTCCACTTAGAAGTGTTATGAGATGAGTAAATTCAATGTTTTGCTCCTTCAGAATTATCTATGACATTCCCAAAGTAATTCAAAACTGGAATTTTTATATGGATACCACACAATTCCAACATATTTAAATATCTAAAACCTAAACATTGATTTTTGGATTCATGTCACTTTCATTATAGTTGAAAGGAGGCCATTACATACATACCCCACAATTTTTGTATATTTACATATCTAACACCTAAATTTTGATATTTATATGTGTACCACACAACTCTTTAACATCATACCCAAAAAATACCACTATTACTTACTTGAGTGAAAGTCACATTTTTATGCGAAGATATAACTAAAATGTTATATGTATAAATATCAAATTGTAATTGTTCGGTGGTATTTATGTAAATTTTTTTGTTTGAGAATATGTACCTCACAGTTAGCGATAATGATATTTTTGATAGGATATGAAAAAATATTTGGGTGATAAATTTTATAACAATAGATAGCAAACATCCCCTAGCAATTAGGAGATGCATCCTACCCGAATCAATAAGAACACGCTCAAAAAGGGGGTTCAATGGCCAAAAGTCTGCCACGGACTGAGCGAACTACAAGGATAGAGAGAGAGAGAGAGAGAGAGAGAGAGAGAGAGAGAGAGAGAGAGAGAGAGAGAGAGAGAGAGAGAGAGAGAGGGTGCATGGGGAGTTGATATAGTTTATAGGGTTTTGTATATTTGGAGATTTCCAAGAGAAAGGAAATGAAATTAAAAGTTTTGATGGAGTGTATACCTCATTCTATTTTATATTTGTGTCATATATTATAACAAATGCAAATCATAATATTTTCATGATATTGTGGTGATGGCATTATATATATATATATATATAGAGGA